TAAGACCGGTTCTGAATTCAAATCCTCGGACTTGGGAGGGATGCTGACACCTCCAGACCGTTACCCCTCCCCCTCCTGGGGGAAGCTTTCTTCTCCAAGGCCTTGGGCTGACCACCCTGGACACTTTCTCGTCTCCATCATCTCCCAGCTCCTTCCTGGCCACTCCCTCACGCTCACCAAAGACGTCACCTCTGCCAAAGCCTTTCTCTGTACCCCACGGACTGCCGCCGTCACCCTGAGCCACACCAGTGTCTGTGGGCCTCACAGCTCTCCAGCCCTGCCACCTCCAGCGACCTCCACCTCCAGCCTGGACCTTGTTGTCACCCCTCGCCGCACCCCTGTAATCTTCAGGGCCATCGTCCTCCTCTCTGACCACAGCCCACTGTGCTCCCAATTCCGTCACGCCCTCCTCCCACGACACCTGCTCTTCCACCTGTCAGCTTTCCTGGTCACAGGGCCATCCTAACCGTCTAGGCTGTGGTGGGTCCCCGCTTCACTCACCTGGGCCAGCACCCTCAGTCCCCTCGGCCTCTTTTCCCCTCCGTTTCCATCCTAGAAGAGCCCAGTCCTCTTTCACTCTCGCCTTTCATGTTCTCTGTCCCGGCACCAGCTCTGCACGGTAATGCCTGAGGAAACCAAGTGATTCGTAAATCCGTGCCCGGACGCCCACGTCCCCGTCCCCTGTGAATTTGTTACCTTATGTGCCAAAAGTGGCATTGACGGTGCGATTAAATTAAGAATCTCAAGATGTGGCGGGTGTCCTGGGCTACCTGGGTGGCCCAATGTCACCACGAGGGTCCTGCTAAGGGAAAGAGGGGGCAGAAGCATTGGAGGAGGGGCCGTGATGGGGCCACAGAGGCCAGAGGGCCACGAGCCCGGAAGGTGGCAGCCTCTGCAGGGTAGCAAATGCCAGCAACGGACTCTCCCCAGGAGCTTCCAGAAGGAGCAACTAGGCTGACACTTTGATGTTAGCTCAGTAATTCGTCTAACCACCAGGGCAGGGAGATAATAAATTTGTATTGTTTGAGCCACTGAGTTTGTGGTAATTGGTTGCAACAGCAATAGCCACTGAATGCAGAGCCTGTGTCTATGCACCAGGCCGGGGCTGCCGGCTGCCACCCTCTGTGCCCCCTCGGTGGCACCCCAGTGCCCCTGATCCCCGTCAGCTATTTCAGACACTCCCGACTTCCTCAGGCTCCTCCACTGTCATCTCCAGCTCCCACTCTCAGCCCTGGCGCCACCTCCTAGGTCCCCAAGAAGCCTTTAGATGCTGAGCCTTCCACGCCCGTTCCCTTGGCACGCAGACTCAGACGAGTCCGCTCCCTGGCTCGTCTCTTGCTTGGTCCTTCCCATCCCCTCCTCTTCCTGTCCCAGGCCAACCCTTCCAGCTGAGCCCGGTCACTCCCATCCCCTGCCTTAGAATCCTGCTCAAGCTTAGGAGCATGTTTGAGTCATTTCTACCTTGAAACAGCAAATAAGAAACCTCCCCCCCCCCTTCATCCCTTCCTGGCTCTCCCTCCGTCCCTTCCAAGCTCTCCAAGCTCGTCACCAGAGGGGTCTGCACCTGCTGTGCCCCCTTCCCCGCTCCCCTGACCCTCCCAGCGCACCACAGCCTGCCTTCTTCTTACCTGCCGTCGTGCAAACCAATGGCCACTTTTCTGTCGTGACCTCTGAGCGCCTGAACTTCCTGGCCGCTCCTGCCTCCACCGGAGGCCCCCAGCCGGGGGCTCTGCAAGGACAGAGCCTCTGCAGGACATGTGTCCTACTCATGTTCACAGCCCTACGGTGGTAAGTGTTTGATGGATGGATGGCAATAACAGTCACAATATAGTACTTCCCTAGCTCCATCACTGCCCACCCTGCAGGAACCGTTCACGGCCAGATTCCTGCACAGGCGCTCCCAGGGTGACAGTCACGAGGGAGATCACTGAGCATTTCCATGTTCCTGTGACACTATTGCTCTCCTGGCTAAGAGGTAATCACCGTTGTCTTTTCATTCTGGTCCACTCAGTGACAAGATGTCGCCTGTTGCTGCCCAGGCGGTGGTGCCTCACCCCCTCGGAGTCCCACGGGGCTTGTCGCGAAGCCACGTACGTCCCATTGTCGCTGTATGTGTCCTGCAGGCTCGCAGACATCATTGCATTTAATTTTCGTTGCAACCCCCAAAGAAAATATGATCCTCCCTCCTGAGTGAGCAAGGAAACAGGCTCAGCCAGGGGCACCATGACTCGAGAGGCACAGGGTCAACAACAAAGCTGGGATCCCGGGGTGACTGTCTCTTCCAGAAAGTGCGTGCTGTTTCCCCAGCAGCCGTGCGCCCCGAACATCTGCCCTCCGGTGCGCTGGCATCCTAGGCACCGCCCGCACAGTTGTTCGCTTAAGCTTTTTCTTCCTTTCTTTCTTTCTTTCATTCTTAAGAAAGAAAGGGTCCCATTTTGTCGCTCAGCTGGAGTGCAGTGGTGCCGTCATAGCTCACAGCAACCTCAGACTCCTGGGCTCCAGTGATCCTCCTGCCTCAGCCTCCCGAGTAGTTGGGACTAGAGGCACATGCCACCATGCCCAGCTAATTTTTTAATTTTTTTTGTAGAGACAGGCTCTTGGTATGTTGCCCAGGCTGGTCTTGAACTCCTGGCCTCAAGTGATCCTCCCACCTCAGCCTCCCAAAGTGCTGGGATTACAGGTGTGAGAAAACACACCCAGCCAATCTTTTTCTTTAAGTTGATGCGTTTTGGTTTGATCTTGCCTCAAAGAAACATTAATAGAAGCATGGTTTTGATACTTCTGATCCAGCAAGTTCCCCTGTTGTTTTGATACTTCTGATTAAAAAAAAATACAAAAGTCTTAAAATAAAAAACATTTGTGCCAGTGCTGCCTGGTGTACAGAGGTGAACGTCGCACTCTGAGAACTCTGCCTGGGGCACAGCCCTCCCTAGGGGCTGCGTAGACGCAGACGTGGCACATAGGGGTCACCCGCCCTGCACTGGGGCCCGTGTCCCTCCCGGAGCCTCACTCCACACCCCTGCTCAGGGTCGGCTCTGTCCCAGGAGGCCCTGCCGGCCCCTCCAGGATGGCCTTGGCCACCGCAGTAGTTGGTAGACTCCTCAAGGGCGGGGAGCGCGTCTTCTGCTCTGTGGGGCAGGAGGCGGCGCGGGCCTAAGCCATGCCCCGACGTGGCCGTGACCGCGGCCCTGGCTGGCCTGTGTGTACTGGGGCTTCAGGAGGGTCCCCGATACACAGGGAGGGGAGGGCCCGCCCCTGTGGTCAGGGCAGGCAGAAAAAGCTTCCGGGGAGAGTGGAAGCTGGGAGAGGGGACTTGCTGAAGCAGAGGGGACTGGGCAGCACGGATGGGACAGAACACATCTCAGGGGGGAGCGAGGAAGGCGGGAGTGCAGCTCTCGCAAGATCGTAACCTGGATGGAGGCTGGTTTTGTAAAAATGAAAGTTCACATGGAACTGCAACGACCACAGCCTGTGGCTGGAGACGCGAGGGCTCGGCTCGGCTCTGGTGCTGTTCACCGGGTGATCCTGCCTTGTCGCACCTTCCCTCATGGTCGCCTGTCAAAATAGATTTTGAAGGTTCGTCCCAGCTCCAACCACCGGGTGAGAGTTTGGGCTATGGGTCCCGGCTTCACTAGCTACGTTTACCTGCTATGTGACCTTGGACAAGTTCCTTCATGTCTCTGAGCCTCCATGGCCTCATCTGTAAAATGGGAGCAATAGTTGTACTCACCTCAGGGATTGGCGTAAAGATTAACTGTGATGACAGATAAAGGCTCAGCCAAGTCCTGGTAGATAGTGAGCACTCATTGAGAATGAGTTATTATTACTATTATTATTATTATTATTGACATGGGAATCTGTGATACCGGGGCTGGTCACCTGAACGCTTCTCCCCTCATGGGCAGAGTCTCTCTGTAACCTGTGTCAACCTGAGGCCAGGATTTTAAAGCTCAAGGCCCTGCCCGGCACAGGGATCTATCCCTGGTGAGGCAACAGCCTCTTGGATCCACACAAAACAGCCACCTGGTGAGCCGAGAGAGAAGAAGTAGCAGAAGCCAGGCAGGGTGTGGGAGCTGGACCTTGGGTACCAGCCTGGGGGCAGGTGGGTGGGCAGGACCTTTCACAGTTTCTCTGCTGCGTCTGCGCACCCACGAGCCTCCTAACAGTCACCTGTAAATCCACCTGCTTGCTCTTTTTACTTACACTCTTACTTTGTGAATGAAACATACCTGGGGAATCGTTACTGCCCGCCTTTAACACAAGGCAGAACTCAAAACAGCACAATGAAAACCGAACTGTCAAGCCCAGCTGGGTTCTCCATCCTCTTTGAGCTGTTCTTTGTTTCGAAGGGCGGTTTGGGAGCCTTAAAGACTCGCTGGTCCCCAGTGGAGCTTTTCTTCCAGACCCAGCTGCAGGGACGGAAAGGGAATTAGAAAGGAAGTCACGATCTCCAGGTGGGGTCAGAACGGGGTAAGGCCAGGGCTGGGAACCACCTGAAATCCTCCTGCAGTTTGGGGGGGGCGGGTGGCTTGCCTGAGAGGTGGGCTCCAGGGGCCCTGGGCAGGGTCCCTGGGATGTCCCTAGGCAGGATCCTGGGTCCCCAGGACCCTCAGGTAAAAGACAACTCACCCCCCCTGAGGACCAGCCTGCCCAGCATGAGACAGGAAGGCTGTGTGACCTGTGTTTGCTGGAGTCCCCCTGCCGGGCCAGGCGGTGCCCTGCCTCCTTCATCCCAGAGCAACAGATTCCCACACAGCTGGGTGTCCCTGTTGTCACCTGGTGTCACTCTCACCCCTCCCAACTCAGGAATCCCGAGCTGCCACTCCATGGAGGTCTCAAGTCGCCATCTAAGACCTTGCCTTGCCCCACCCTGGGTATTTCTGGCTCCAAGATGGGAAGAAAGCCCTGAAACCAGAGCAGAAGCTGTCCTTGGTGACACGCCTGGAGTGAGCATTAATAGAAGCCTCCCTCAGGCCCCTGACACGTCTGGGCAGCTGCTCAGCCCGCCCCGAGTCCCTCAGCCCCAAGGCCAGCCCACTCTGGCTCAGCCAGGCACACTAAACTTAGCTTCCACTCCCGGCCCGATAGCCACCGTCACCGCCCCTGCTGGGCTGCCACCTGCACTAGGAGACGCTGCCACCAGACCCTGCCCAGAGCACCCACTCCTCAGCAACCGCCATGTCCCAGACCAAAAAACTGAAGGTCCGCGTGACCCTCTTCTGCATCCTGGTGGGCATCGTGCTGGCCACGGCCGCCGTGGTGACCGACCACTGGGCCGTGCTGAGCCCCCACCTGGAGCACCACAACACCACCTGCGAGGCGGCCCACTTCGGCCTCTGGAGGATTTGCACCAAGCGCATTCCCATGGACGACAGCAGGAGCTGCGGACCCATCTCTCTGCCCGGGGGTAAGGTGCCCATCCCTCTGCCCCCTCCCTGCCTCCTGCCCTTCCCAGTCCCCCTGGAAAAGTCGCCCGTGAGGAGGAAGACAGGTTTCTCTGCCTCAGAACAGAGCAGCCACCCAGCGCTGCCCACCCAGGGAAGAAGGTCTGAACTGCGTGCGCCCAGACCTGGCTTCTGAGAGGAGGGCACTTGTCCCCAGCTATTTCTGTCTTGCTGAGACTTGGGCCATTTCACCCAGAGCAGGGAGCTGGGCAGGTGGGACAAGAAGCTCAACTGAAGAACTGCGGGGCCACCAGACCAGGCGCTTCTGGGCCTGGCCGGGCCACTCTGCCCCCGCACAGACACGCTGGGTGGCTCTGTGTCCTCAGGTTGAAGGGACCCACAGGGCTGGCAGGTACATTCCCCAACAGTCAGGCAGGAGGGGGGACAGGATTGGCTGCAGAATTTACAGGCCTTCCCAAAATGAAAGGCAAGGTTCTTTGTTGCAAATCACTGAGAACTTCAAGACAGTGATGGCATAGCATGAACGCCAGCACGGGCCCCTGTGGGCCCGGGGCCTGCAGCAACTGCACGGTCACATGTCTGTGAAGCAGGAGGTGGCTGCAGATGAGCCGTCTGCCCTTTTCTCAGGACTGTCAGTCCTCAGTGCATCCTCCCTTAGCTCAGACCCTTCAGAGTTACAAAGCCTGTCCTCACTGTCATTTAAGCGTATTCCTCCATGCCCCACCATGTGACTGAAGCACACGTAGCAGGTAAGCTCCTTGTCAAGGCACCTGGCATTAGCGTGACCAAGGCTCTACTCTGCAGAAGTGGAACCTCCGGATTCAGCGAACAGGGTGCACGTGTCAGAGGAAACAGTGCTACTTAAACAGGGGAGGCCTGGGCTCTTGTCACCTGTTTCCCACTATCTCCCTGGATGACCATTCCCAGACATCCCTCCAAGGTGGTGGTGGACCAGGGTGTGTGTGAGGTCCCGCCTGATTTCCAGACCAGGTGTTCCTTGAAACCTGCCCTTCAAGGACACCGGTGTTGAGTCCCCAAAGTCCCTGCAGTCTGCATGCGGGGCAGCAAGCCCACACCCCAGCCTCCCATTTCTCTGCTTCCTCTTCCTTCCCCGGCTTGCTCCAGGGAACCCCAGCCTTGCTCACCCCCACTGGGCCCCTCGAAGACTCGTAAATAACCAGCTGTCTTAGAAACACCAAGTCCTGGCACTGCGGGCTTTGACAGGCGTGGCCATGTGCTTGCAGGGTATCACATAGCCCAGATGCCCGTGTCCCTCGGCCCTCAGCTGCTGAGCACACCCGTAAACAGATGCATCATCCAGCCAACTCCCCTGGGCAGGGCAGGGCATGGTGGGGCGGGGCAGCTTCTCTTGGGACCATGTGTGGGCACGCACTGTTATAGTCCTGTCCACACGTCCTTGGAACCATCCGCATTTTAAAGTCAGAGTGGATGAGCAAGCAGTGAGCATAGTCCACACAAGGAAGAGACAGGCTGGCAAGAGGTAACTGGACCAGCCACAGGGGCCCAGGAGGCATTGCTTGGCCTTGAGCCTGACCACAATCTATCTCTTTGCCTCCTCATTCTAGGCCAGCCGTGAATCATACCTCCCATACTTGTGACACTGAGCACTACCTTTCCCCAGTAATCTTCCAAAGCATGTTCCTGCCTTTTTCCTCTTTTCTCTGCAAATGGATGTCTTTTTCCTTCCCCACCTGCCCTTCTTGTGCTCCCTGGGACCACTCTTTTCTGGAGTAAGGAAGAGCCTTTATACATGTTCTTTCATTTGACACTAACAACAACAATAATAATAATGGCACACAAATGAAGCTCTATGTACCAAATACTGCTGTAAGTGCTTTACATATATTAACTTTGAATGACATCAGAAAAAAAAATGACAGAGTAAGAAACTTCAAGAATCTTCTTCTCCATGAATTCAATGAGAATGTTGGCAAAAATTGTCAAAATTAACACTTTCCGAACTCTGGAAATTGCAGCAATCCAGCAAGGGCTTATTCAAGAAAAATGGGCAAATTTTAGGAGGACTAGTGAACTTTGTGGTATTTAAACATGCTCTATTCTCATTCTCCTTCCCCAAGTCTGTGGTAGCCTTGAAAACTAACACCCACAGTCACAGTGAACACCAGCATTCTGGTAGCCACTGGAGGGGACAGAAGAGGGTTGAATCTCTTCCAAAGCCCGATTCCAGGAGCAGTGTCATTATTTGTCACCTGTCTGGTGATTTCTAGAAGTCCCCCATACAAGACTGTCTCTATTTGACCTAACTCTGAGCTCTTCCAGGGCAAATAGTTTTTCTCCTAGGGGACATTTGTTGAAAACAATTAGAGACAATTCTTTAACATCATGGCTGCCTGAGGCAGTACCAAACAGTTGGGGCAAACAGTAGGCTAAACAAAAAGCTGTAGCATGAGACATCCATATGTCACTTGGAAAAGCTCCAACATACTCCTGGGAAGCTAGAAGGCCATATGCATGCACAAGGCTGTGCACATGCTCAGGAAGGATCTGAGAAGTCCCCAAGCTCCCACCTCTGCCTTAACTTGAGGCCATATGAATAGAAAGTGAAGGCTAAGGCAGAGCTGTAGACTGCTTATCTGAGTGGTAAAGTCATGCTCCAACATGTGTACAGAGCCTGCAGTGAAGACCAGAAAATATTGGTTCCAAGTATTTTGGGAAATTTTTGTTAACTGGCCACTAAGGTAATTAAACAGAGATTTCAGTGGTCACACATGACAAAGAAGACAGACTTTACAGAATTAGTTCAGAAAAGTCACTAAACAAACAATAGGAGGAACAAGTCCTCAAGAAGGGGGAATCTGAGTTCTAGATTTGCCACATTATATTGTTTAAAAAATACAAGGCATGCAAAGAACTAAAATGGTATGGCCCATATATAGGGGGAAAAGAAGTTAACAGACCCCCTAAAGAAGCCCAGATATTGAACTTACTAGACAAAGACTTTAAATCAGCTATATAGAAATTCTGAAGTTGAAAAGTACAATAACTGAAATAAAAAATTCACTAGAGGGACTCAATAATATATATGAGCAGACAAAATAAAGAATCAGTGGACTTGAAGATAGATAAATTGAGACTAGTCAGCCTGAAGAACAGATAGAAAAAGAGAATGAAGATGGCTGGGCATGGTGGCTCAGACATGAAATCCCAGCACTTTGGGAGGCCAAGGTGGGAGGATTGCTTAAGGCCAATAATTTGAGACTAGCCTGGGCAATATAGCAAGATCCCGTGTCTAAAAACAAAAAATTAGCCAGGCATGGTGGTGTGCACCCATAGTTCTAGCTACTCAGGAGGCTGAGGTGGGAGGATCACTTGAGCCTAGGAGTTTGAGGTTGCAGTGAGCTATAATCATACTTCACTCAAGCTCAGGTGACAGACAAAAACCCTGTCTCAAAGAAAAAAAAGAGAGAGAATGAATAAAAATGAACAGAACCTCAGAGGTTCCTGGGACACCATCAAGTGTACCGACATATGCATACTGGGAGTCACAGAAGGAGAGAGAGAGAGAGAAAGGAGCAAAAAAGAAGCGTATGTGAAAAATAATGGCCAAATCTTCCCAAATTATATGAAAAAAATGTTAATCTATGAATTCATGAAGTTCAGTGAACTCCAGATATGATAAACTCAAATAGATCCACACCTAGACACATCATAATAAAACCACTGAAAGGTAAAGACAGAGAATCTTGAAAACAGACAGAAACAGCTCATTATACACAAGGGTGTCTAAATAAGATAACAGCTGATTCTTCCCAAAAGCTATGGAGGCCAGAAAGCAGTGGGATGAAATACATATATTAGCTCAGCTGATTTTCACAAAAACCTCCATGAAATCTATACTACTATCATCAGGCCATCTTACATGTAAAGAAGATGAATCACAGAAAGGTTGAGTCATTTGACCGAGGTCACAGAGTTGATGAGCTGAGCAGCCAGGATTTGCACCCAGGCAATTGTCTTTAACGTTCACCTTTTTAGTCACTGCATTATACTACTTTACAACAACCCACCCAGTGGGTAGGTTCCCATTCTACAGGTAGGAACACTGAGGCTGAGCATGGTCTTCCCCAGGCTAACCATCAGACAAGTAGAGGTTCACCACCCAAGTCTCAAATCCAGAGCCTCATTAGTTTCCAGTTCCTTCCCACACCCTGCACTGGGCATACAAACACAACTCCTAAAACCTCTGACCCAAGTTAACACAGCGTCCTGCCTTTGACATGGCATGGTCTGGGGGCAGCTGGGCCAGGAGCTCATGCAATGAAGGGGACTTTTCAAGGTCCCATTCAGCCATAGGCAGAATGCTAGAGGTTCTGAGGGCTGGAGTTGTCTAATCTGATTTTTCCACTGTCCCCTAAAGAGACTTAGAAGAATGTTCATGTACAAGATCAACATCTGAGGTCAATTCCAATGCTTCCAGAATGAGCGTAGGGGCTTCCCCAGAAGACTATGTGTCTGAAAGCCCAACATCACCCTCTGCCCTTAGGCTGGTTGAAGTATTGCTTCTTCAGGCCCTGCCTTTTTTTTTTTTTTTTTTTTTTTTTTAAAGGATCAGCCCCTGGAGTCCCAAACGTACTGGGTCCTTCTGTGTCCTAATATGGAACCAGCAGGAGCTGGCACCAAGCAGATGCCGGAGAGAAGAAAGGAGGTTCAGGGATTGGGCAGGAGCAGGCAGCTACCTATGGGGAGCTCGAACCAGCCACGTGCCTCAAGCTGCCTGCTAAGGTACCCAATTATGCCCCTGCCTGCCTGCCTACTGAGATGAGAGCAGGAGGAGAATGGAAGGAATAAGGTTGTTCGGGAACCTTCCAATCCAGAGGAAGGTGGGGCTGGAAGCATATACCGGTGATGCAGATATTTTTAAATGTGCATTTCAACAAAACTGCTGTGTAACCTCAGAACAGAGAAATCTGCAATCAAAGATTTGCAGATCTTTGCCCCAGCAATTTATTCTCAAGAGCCC